TCAGAGGAGCCACAGGAACCCCCTGAACAGAAACCCATCTGTGCTGAGCCTCGTGACCTGGGCTGGGGACCAGGCATGAGCTGCTATCAAGTACTGACTGATCTAAAGATCTAAAGCCTAAACCTAGAGACTTGGCTTTCTTGCTGCTTTTCAATTTTAAATCTTTTCAGCTCTCGCTTTTCGCCTGGTGCTTGAGAAGTAAACCCCAGGTGCTGTGGCTCGGCGGATGTTTGTCCAGGGCAGTGGTTCGTTCACAAGCAGAGGACCTGTAGCTCATCAGCCTGGGCAACGAGATCTTGAGTCACTGCTGCCAGCCGCAGTGCACTCAGTGTAAAATGTCCTCAATCTCGTCTAGATTCACAGGTTTCAGAGAAATGTTGCATCATCCTATACGCAGACACTTGCCTTATATAATGGCTATTCACACCCAGACAAAAGGAAAATGGGAAACACCCTGCTGGAGTGAACTCCATCGATTGTTACCAGCCGTCGTAATATATCCCTCTGCTGACAACCAGTGCTGAATTTTCTGAGCTCTGCACCTCTCCGACTCTCTCTGCAACCCTCAAATAAAATGCTTTCTGTCTCCCTGGCCCCCTTTGCTGTCTTTGTTTGCACAAGGGGAGGTTGCGAGATGAAACGAGCCACTGCTGTGTGTCTCGTGGAGGTCCCTGGGCTAATTCACCAGCACTGATGTCTTTAAAGACATTGACCGCAGTTTAACGGATCATACTGACCCCCAGGCTGCGCTCCCTTTCCGGGCGTGTGTCAGCTTGAAGATTGGGACAGAGTCAGGCACAGCACGGGCAGGTGTGGAGAGGGTAACCCAATAGGACCAGTTAGCTACCAGCATGACCACTCCAGGTGTCCTGGCACTGAGGCACAGGGCTGCAGCTGTGATGATGCATCAGCTCTTCTTACAATCATTCCCTTGCCTGCCTTACAGCTCACACTCCAACCTGAAGCAAGACATGCTGTATCTATTGCTGTGTTATCCAAATCCTGTGCTATTCTAAAAGATTGCACGGACCCTTCATTGAGATACACATCAGCACTGCTGTGGTCGTGTGGGTTTTTGATTTGATTGAAAGCCTTCAGAGTCGTTGAACTATAGAAATGTTCTGATCTGTGTGCTGAACCAGCCCGGTGTCCTGACAGAGTATCTCTTGCTCTCGGAGAGTACAGGGAGAGAGACTGTACTGCTCTTCCTCTCTACTGGTGTCATAGCTGACCTAAGGAGACCAGCTGAGTGTGCACGGAGGAGTCTAACTGGTCACTGTGTACAAACAGGGGCCCTGCAGGCCCAGACTCACGTGTTGCCACTATAGGAAGCCTGATGTTATGTAGGTCATTAACACCACTGGAACTGCTGAGGTCACAAACGTCTCCTGCTCTGACCCAAACACAGTGGATTGCATGCGACATGCAGTGGGTCAAACTGAAGCCACAAGCTCAGTGTGCAGTAATGACATGATCAAAGCAGTAACATTTGCATTCTCATGGCCATGTCTAGAAACCTTTAGGTTTATGAACAGCTCCTGGTCCCAGGTTGTAATTCATGTGCCCTGGTCCACATTTCAGGCTCCATCCCTGTCCAGACATCTCTACACTGTCACCCAAACCAGCTGTGCCAAAACTGGTATACCAGCCTGCCAACGGATCCTCAGACAGGTACTATCCTTCCTCACCCTGTGTGCTCATGCAAATGGCTTGCAAATTTCATAGAACCCTATTCTGCATCCTGTATGAGACCTGCTGGGACTGAAGTGCCATTCTGGGACATCAATCACATTGACAGAAGGGCACTAACAGCGCACAGAGAGGAGCAGTCACCACCAAGACGCCTGCAGCCACAGGACCAGAGGGAGTAAACATGCCTGACTGCAGAGTGTTTACTGTAGCATGTGCAGAGGAGATAACTCCAATGTGGAACGGCTCCACGGAACAAGATGAATTAAGCTCATAAAGGCAGCTTGTTAAATCACTACATTAGTGATGGAGATGGGGGAGGCAATTTCTTTATAAATAATTAGTCACTGTGATTACATAAGGAAAAGGAAACTCATTTGGGACTGAAATAAGTTATCATCATTGACACTAAAGACAGGATTCATCAATAAAAACATAAAACCAAGCGGATGTTGGTGTGTTGAGTATGGCTACAGAGATAACATCCTGCAATTAATGAAAAAAACAGCCTTTGTTGCTTTGGGCAGTCAGAGCTCTGTGAGCCAGCCTGCCCACCATCGCCGCCCTACTGCCCAGCTCCCCCAGGAAACGCCAACCTGAGTGATCAAGAGCCTCAGGGACTGTGAGCACAGCACAGGCTGGCTTGACCAGGACGCTTGGTCAAGCCAGCCTGTACCGGTCATTTCTCAGGCATGTGGAGCTGCTGGGGTGGAGAGAGACCTGCTCTGGTCAAGGTGGGAGGGGGGAGGGTGTATCAGCTAATTCTCTGTGAGAGTCAGCATACAGAGAATAAGACACCAGCACAGCGATCGCTGGGCTAGTGAAGAAACTGGCCTGGCAGGAATGATCACACAGAACTGCCAGACAGGTGATGAATAATTCTGTTCACGGCGTGCAAACAGGGTCCCCTGGGATTTGTTATGGGATCGATCGGCTGGGGCTGATTAGCTTGTGCAGAAGCTGAATGCGGAAGGGAGGGAGGCCCAGAGGCCCGGAAATTGAAATGCTGGAGTCCAGCAGGGTCAGTTCACACTCGTTGAGCAGCACGAGGAGGAAACATCCAGACCAGACATGTCAGGCAAGTCAGGTCCCCAGAATAACTGTCCCAATGTGTGTGCTGGAGCTGTAACATACCATCTATACCAAGAGCTGTTGGAGGGTAAACATCTTGTTTTCATCACGAACAGTCCCTGCCTCCACAATCTCTAGTGACCTTGATAAAATATATAAAAAAGATGCCTTTTATAAAATGTTACGCATGCAACTGCTTGTTAGGCTGTATGTAAGTCCTTAATAAGACATTTAAGGCAGATTTTGCCTTTTTAAGATGTTAAAAGGACAGTTGAGAAGAATAGAAGCACAACATTCACCTCAAAGCTTTTAGAACCCATAAAGAAGTCATTATTTATTTCAGATAATCATGCTGAAAACTTGCAAAATATTTACTTTTGGCTAAAAATACCCAAAGCCAATGAACTGCCCATAGATGTAAGATGGATTTAAGTTCTGTTTACAAAACTCCATAAACAGCATCAGGACAGAGTATATTCCCAGCCTTTGCTTGAGAGATGGAGGCTTCTTTAAGAACTAACTTGGTTTCTATTCTTACGTGTGAATTAACAAGGAACGTGCTTAAAAACAAAGACACATTTTTTTTGTTAAACTGTGCAGACTGGGAAGTAGAAGTCTGAAAAACATAGAATCTAGATCCTGAAAAAAATCACTCAAACTGTTTAACATTGAGAGATTCCTGTTGTTGAAAGTAAGACAGAAGCCCAGACAAGTAGCCTTAAAAGGAAGCAAAGAGAACAGTTTGAAAATGTGCAGTTTTCAGCCCTGAAAATTGTCTTGCCATAGGCTTGCCGAGACACAGACTCACAAGATTAACCCGAAATTCCAACAGTGTGAGCATTAAATCTAAAACTGCTTCCAAAGAGGCAGGAACAGAAGCAAGAAATGGGAACCAAAAAATGCACCCAAAACATAACACCAACGCTCGTTTGCTCAGGTGCAAAGTCATGGCCATTGGCCACTCATGAAGCCCAGGTGCCCGATGGGAAGGGTTCATGCTGTCCGGGACAGAGCCGTCTGGAAGGGCTTCTCCAAACAGTCAATGAAAATGTACAAAAGGTGATGCTGGTCATTCTTTAAGTGGATAACTTAAATGTTTGTCATTCACAACAAAAAAATAAAATGAGAAGGCACTTGCATTTCAAAAGAAAGCATGAGGTGTCTCACGAGCAGAGGAGGAATTTCAAACTTGACTCCACGTTCCTGCTGACACAGAGGGCTAATTAACTAAAAGGTCTATTGTAACACATTCCTCACAGGCTCCAAGATCACCTGTCACTATAGGAGATGGGGAACGAGCTCCACAGCAACACCTGGCTTTAAATACAACACCATTCAGCACTGCCTCCCACAGAGTAAACATGAAGGCTAATTTGCTAATTGCCAGCCTTCAAGGGTGGCTGTAGGCTGTAATGAGCTTAATAAAAATATGAGTAGTGACTTCCCTTCATGGGTAATCAGCAGCACTGCATAATAAGCAACACTTAAGTGTTATTATAACTGGCTCACACATTCATTTGAGAATAATTTTAGACTGTTAAAATAAATAAACACCCCAAAACAGAGATTCCATTAAAGACTAAAGCCATTACTTATCTGGGTTTTCAAAACACGAATCTCACTTTGTCATAATTAGCCATCTCCGGTACTGACATTAAAACATGACAAATGCTGGTGGTGCCGTCCACAGTGTTGGACAGACTGCCTTTTTGTGAGCAGGACTGCTTGAATGGTTTCCATTCCAGCTGAGCTCTAAATGACTCACTGGATGTACCAGCTGTAATTACAAGACACTCCAATGCTTGATGACCCTTCAAGGCTGCATGTACACCCTGCAGGACTCTGGCTCTCTGGGACCTCTGACAGAGTCGATCCCTATCCCTGAAAGCTTCTTCCTCGGCAGAACCTGGAGTCACAGGGGTAACTGACAGCGATACCGTGGAAACTGGTTTGCCTCCCAGCAGGGATGTCCTCTGGCTACAAGACTAGAACACTGGCAGGTTTCATCAGTCAAAATAAATCACTGCCATGAGAGCTGTCTCGTGTTTTCCCTGGTGTGAACTTAGACTCCTTTGATATAGTAACTGTTTCTAAAGAAATTATCCTGACATAAAACTTATTTTTCCACTGTCATGTGATATTAGAGGGAATGCATGCATGTTATTTTGTAGAAATATTCACTTAAAAAAATTAAAAATTACAAATACTGACTCTAGGACAGCTGTTTTTCTGCAGTTTACCTTGTGTTGTTGGGCTGTCATGGCCCCCCTCTGCCAAATCTCCTGGACTGTGTACCAGAGGGAAAACCACACCCTCACTTCCTGTGTAAAAGTACTTCAGCACAGGAAGTTCAGGTCACATGAACCCCCGCGTCCACTCCTCCCCCTGCAGGTTGCAGTTGGAATGGCAGGTAGGAGAGGGCGGGGCATGGCTTCTCTTGTCTAGAGGCCATTATCACACAGTCCAGCCCTTTCTAAGATTATATTTGAGCTGAGACCATCCTTTTTTTCCCAAAAGATCAGTGTGCGCCAATGGAACCTTAAAAAATTAAGACAATACACTGGCATGGTTTGGTGGTGGTAAGTGCTAATATCACACAGCTCTTGGGTCCTTGGTTCAATTCTAGCTTGTGGTCCTTCCGTGTGGAGTTTGCCTGCTCTCCTTGTACTGATGTGTTTTTTGTAGTTCTCCAGTTGTGTCGCTCTCATTGTATCCTGTACCTGCTGGGTAAAATTTTCGTTCATAGACACCCTTTCTCTTTTGTCAAGTGATTAGTGTGAAACAATGAAGCGGTTCAGCACCTGTAAAGAGCCTCTTCACCCTGATATGTGTCCCCAAATAACCTCTTACCCCTCCCTTCCTCCTCACCAGCAGCCTGCCAGTGAACCAGAGGACCCCTTTCTGACACCCCTCTGTTCCCCAGACAGACCCTCCACAGCACACTGAGGCCCTCTGCCCTGATCTGGTAGAGCTCGTTCCAGCCAAGGTTTCAGGCCATGTTGTATCAGTTCAGTAGACTGACTTTCTTTTCTAGGTTTCCATCATGAAAACTGCTAACTTTGCAGGCCGGGGAAATTGCACCTGTAATATCCAGCATTCATGGCTCATTATACCTGGTGTGTAATGTGCTGTGCTGGAGCTGTGAGTCCTGGGAGAATACTGCATTCTTCCCACAGCTTGGTCTGGAGCCCTGTGGCGGCCAGACAGCCTCACAGCAGCTCATCCGTACACGTTTGCCGTGGTCCCAGAGCACAGCAGCCCGTGACAGAAGTTTTTTCAAAACATATTTGTGCCTCAGAGTATAGTAATGGGTCTGATTACTTTCCATCCATTGGAAAAAAGTTTAAAAGGACAGCATCCTTATTTTATTTTTTTATTGGAATTATTATTTTAAAATAACTTCAGTGGCAAACAGAATACAGACAACATGTTGTCACACATCTAGGGAGGTCCTGATGACAGAAAGTGGAGCTCAGGGTGTCTCAGACACCCACTGGGCACGTGCAGCACCATGGTGACAGTCGTCGGGGCAACGCACGCACACACACCGCTGACACACCCCATCCAGGGAAATAGGAAGGAAAGGTCAACAGTCACCCAGCTGTCCCTCTTCCTGTCCCCTCTCATTACAGCACATGTCATTTATTTATATCTCCTTGTTTGCTCGCTTTCTTAACCGCTCAAAAGTAACTTTTGTGTGTGGTGATTTTGCACTTTGGACATTGTTTTGATTTGCAGAACACTAATTTCTCCAGGTCTGCTTGACAAGGAATTGTTTGTGCCAACAACCGCCTTGCAGCTGCAGGCCTGCTGCCCTCACTGGGAGGCCCCACTATGAGCAGGGCAGACAGGAGGGGAGCAGCCGCCTGCCTGGCGGAAGGGTGCTTCTCCTCCTGAGGGGCCTCTCCAGTGGGAGCAGCAGCCCCATCCTACTGAACAAGCCAGACCCCAGCTCTGTGTGTCCTGAGGCCAGAGAGCGGAGGAGTGCTGGAGGACAGGGGGATCGCTGAGCTCCGCTTTCACATGGCAAGTAATAATGATCACTAACAGTATCAGATAGTCGGGAACAAATGGCACACATTAGAAAATTAACAGAGAACAGCTCCATCAGAGTTACACAGTATACATTCAGATGCACCGCATCCAGTCCAGATGCTGGTTTCTGTGCCTCAAGTGGCTTCAGGAACTACAGGAATAAAACCGACCAGATAAAGCAGAGGAACATGAGTGAAGCTCCAGACAAGGAGAGGCCATCTGGCCCATGCTCTTCCTTTGTCTGCATGCTAGCTAACGGATACCGGAATTCCCCGAAAATGGGCGTCCCAGGCCCAGGCTAATCTGGAGGGGTGGAATCCCCTGCTCCTGTCATGCTGGATGTGCAGGTCCGGTGCTGCCTCTTTCACACAGGGGGAGGAAGAGGGAAGAGGGAGCAGCCTCACTGTTCTTCTTTGGCTTTTCAGGTCAGCTACCAAACCAAGTCAACAGGCCAAAACGCCTTTGAAATATAAGTCACTCAGTCGTACAAAGGCTGTCTGTTTTTCGGAGGCAGCAAGATGAATCAGCCCGTGACGTTGGAGTGCTAGTGCACTAGCGCTCTGGAGCGCTGTGTGCCTCCCTGCAGTCAGGACAGAGCTTGCGATGGAGGCTGAGAGCCCCTTCCTCACCTCAGCCCATCTCCTGTGTCATGCTGTGAGCTTCTTACAGAGGAGCCTTACTCCACAGCAGGGTTGGATCTGGTGAAAAGCAGCTCAGAGCTGTTGCTAAAAGTCTTCTCTCTCCCTCTGCTCTCTCTTTCTCCAACTGGTCTCCCCCCACCCCCGCCCTGCCCTGTTACAGTCCAGATGTTGACGAGCTGTGCTCATCATCACTGCATTGTCTTTCGGGGGAGCAGAAAAGACAAAAATATTACCAGAATGATCAAGACCCTGGCTGCCGTGGAAGAGTCTGTTCAATTTCTCCTTGACCCTGAGAGTTTGAGAGAAGGTTAAATTCTTTTAAAGGCATTTCACTCAAAGCCTTGGCCTTTAGCAATCCACTAATCCCTAGGCAGGTGAATTTCAGCATCTATTTTCCCTCACAAAAGAATTAAATTACTGGGAAGGCAGTACTGGACTGCGTTTGCTACTTTTCCTCTCAGTGCATGTAAGGAGAGGTTATAAATAAATACGCAGTGTTCTGTATATTGTTCCTCAGGCCACAGATCGCTGCTCCTAATCTCTACAGAGAGACGCAATGAGCTGGACTGATCTCATCTCACCGGAGTCCCTGAACGTCAGTCTTTCCCCCAGCATGTCAGCAAACCCTTCAGTCCAGTTTGTGGCCCGTATGCTGAGGACCACGTGACTGTTCAATTAGCTGCTTTACTGCTCTTCAGCTGCCATAGTGATCAAGCTCATGAGCAGAGAAACAATTACAGAAAGGCCTATAGCCCAGTTCATGAAGGAGTTGAACTGGAAGGTCCGCAGAACACGTGGACCTGCTGCAGAGAGTCTGCTGTACCTACTGCTCCCACAGTCTTCTCCAGGTCTGCAGAGGCTGATGAGGAGACATCAAGCAGCTCAGTCTGAGGATGAACATGGACTCTCCGAGCTGCCAGTTGCTGCTGGAGGGGAGTCATGTTCTCGGATTTCCAACAGCCCCAGGGAGCTGTGGGTGACCTGGAGAAGGACTGCATACTCATCTCTGCTCCAAGCGAGCGAGCTCTCTCGTCAGGCATGCCGCTGTCAGACCCAGCAGCCTGCTGCGTGGGAGATCCTGCTTCTAGGATAAGATCTCCACTGGAGATTCACTCATGGTTGTTTCTGAAGCCACTTGATATTACAAAGAGCAACAAAAGCGTGCCTGTGTAGCCCAGAACCTGACTCATGGCACAGGATACAGTTAATAAAATCACAAGGCAACACAACTGCGTGGACACATGCACCTGCCTGAGAGTCAGAACTGAAGAACTGAAGCAAGAGAACACTGTTTATGCTGGACTATATATACACATATTTACATATTTATGGTGTATAAATTAACATTGTGCAAATAGGCTTACAAATTCATAGTCTTGTCTTTCTGTTTGTACATTTAAAATGAAAAAGACAAACCTCAGATTACATACTATTTTGCCCTCCACTCCAACGTCTTGACACAAAACTCTTCACAGCTCAGTCTTAACAAGAAGCGATGTTCAGTCCCACTCTGCAGACGCTGCACCCCAGTATCACTGCACAGAACACCCCACCCCAGTTCCACTGTGCAGAACTAACCCACCCCTCCACCCCACTGATACAGAGTTTTTCACATCACCAGAAGAGGCACCATGGGCTCCTCCTACTATGCTCTGGACTCTGGTCTGTTACCAGGGGCCTTAGGGCTCAGAACCCCAGCTCAGGCACTGCTGTTGCATCTCTTACAAGGGTGCAGTGTTTCACCCTGGTCAATCCAGTGCAAATCAGGTTATCACTTTTGGGGCTTATATACTAATGCCCCAGCCTGGGGGAGCCTAGACGTTAGCTCAGGGATTCAAGACCTCTCCTTTGCTCTCTCCTAGTCTGGGCCAGTTTGGGGTCACAGACTAATGCAAGACTCTACACCCTTGGTTCATTAATCACTGGAAACTTTTGAGCTGAGGAAGAAAAAATGGCACTTTAAATATTAACTCAAATGCTGGTGGAGCTCGGTGAAGCACTTCCTTGGAAGTGGAAGTGAGTTTCAGCTGAAACTCTGTTGAGCTCCTTCCTGGGCAGTGCAGTAGTTTCATTTAGCTGCCAGGCTGACAGACGCACCTTCAGACACAAACACACCAGGACACTAACCTCCCTGGCCCTGGTATTGGATGAGACGTAAAAACCGAGGTCCTGACTCTCTGTGGTAATTAACAATCCCAGGGCATTTCTCAAAAAGAGTAGGGGTGTAATTATTATTATTCTATTGCAGCACAGCATGATGCGCTTCAGTCGGCTGCCATCATCCTGTACAGCTACATCTCTGAGCCTCCAAACCCTGCAGGAAACCTGACAGCCCAGTGTGAGTGCGAGTTTTGAGTGAGGCAGCAGGCACTGCTGCAGGGGCTCGGGGCTCCTACCAAAAGCCTGCTGGCTCAACACCTCCCCGCCAGACCTTTGTGTGATCTAGGAGAGCAGAAGGCAGGCATGCAAACTACAGTTCGCAACAGGACAAGAAAGTTACTTTTTCTTAAGAAAGTGTTTGCTTAGCTTGCTTAAATGACAGGATTTAAAGTCTGGTAAGTGAGGAGGAAACACAGCTGTGCAGGAGGTGACTCATGCCATACTGGACCACCATGATACATGTCAACAGTTAAACAAATTCTTGAAGAGCTTTGCTTATCCAGTCAACCGCTGTTGGAGAGCAGAACAGAGGGAGCAGTCTGGCAGCGATTGATGGAGGACAGAATGTGTGCGTGCTGGTCTTTTGGACAGAAGGTTGCATCGCCATCTTGAACAAACCTGCATCTCCTAATTCATCTTGTTAATCCCCAAGCACTGGGAGATGACCTCTAGTCACTTGTGCCCTGTAATTCTCTCCTATTCTTTTATTCTGCATTTCACTGTAAGTGTCTAGGTCATTAGCAAAGAAGCTACACTGTAGATGGCTGAGAGCAGTGCTTCAAGGTCAAAGTGCTTGTTTAATATGTTTTATGGCCCAGATGTTACTTATTCGAACCTGTGTCATGTCAGTACCCCCCTGTGACTGGGATTCCCTAGAGCACACCTGGAAGAGTGCTGCAGGGGTAGAGCTGGAATGAGTGGGCCAAGGACCTCTCAGGCTTGCTGTGAAGTCAGTGAGAGATGCACCACTTCTCCAGTCAGCGTTCCCTCTCCTGCTGGGCACTGTGAAGCTCAGAGTGGCCGAAGAGTGTCTCTCTTGTGTGGGCACAGCCGCTGCTGAAAAGCCATGTCTTAAAACAGTTGGTGATTCCAAACTGGGAGGTAAGATTTTTAAATGTTAAGCACACACTGTCTTTCTCTATACTGGAATTCAGATGGATGGGAGGTACGCTATACCACCCTCCCTAACATTTGATCATGCTTTGAAAGAAGCTGTTCCCCCATTAAAACCACAATCATCATCCTTAAATAGCAAAACAATAAAAATTCACCAACATTCACCAACTTTCTTTGTTACAATAAGAATATTTTAAAAATATATATTTGACAACATTTGACGGTTCGTAAAGACCTACCTGTCCCTGAATGGAGCTCTCAGGCTGCTGTGAGAGCACCCCCCCCTCCACAGTCTGCTGTGAGAGCACCCCCCCCCCCCCACAGGCTGCTGTGGGGGGCTCCAGTGTGAGAGCATAGGCACCCGGCAGTCTCTGTCTGCCCCTGCCCCTGTCCCTGCCAGCTCTCCCAGGCCTCCAGGACCCGGTGAGTCTCCGGAACGCTGCAGAACTGTGTTCAGAGCTGCTGGCTGGTACCACCCGGCAGCAGCACGAGCCCCCTGCCATCGCTGCGAGACAGCGGACAGCTCGAAGAGGAGCCGAATGGCGACGCCGCACCCTCGCCGAGGCCAGGGGCTGGGAAGCAGTTTGTTCGGCTTTATTGTACAGGCTGTCAATGGTTGCGATTTCTGTTCGTCCATCCCTTACACTGCTTTCATGAGTCAGTCCAAATCGATTACAGACATCTCCTTGAGTAACAGACAGCACACACGGGACCGGCTGGGATCTCCTCCTCACACGCCAGGCTGCGGCAGAACCGGTGCGTGAGTCTGCAGGAAGCCCCCGGAGAGAGAGGAGAAGCCTGCCTTCTGTTCGCGGCTCTGCTGCTCAGTGAAAAGGCCATCGCACTGCGACACATAGGCCTGGGGGCCGCCAGCAAAAACCCATTACTTTTGCGGTCGCTGTTTTTATTTTCTTGTCTTTATGATTGTTTGAAATAGGCATTGGCCTTTACAAAAAAAAAAATATAGAAGTAATAATCGTAAAAACCATAACAAGAATACAGCCTCGTCCTGGAGCTCCGGGGATCTGTGTGGAGAAAACAGGCACAGACGAAGGAGTAAGTGTCTTTTACCTGTGGATCTCAGAGCCACCAAGACCAGCGCAACCCCTCATGCTCCCTGCCCCCAGACCGGGCTGCCTGTATGGGTCTCTAAGGCTGGGCAGCTGCACTCAGGTCGTATAAACTCTGCACGTAGGGCTGCTAACCGCAGGCAGGCCCAGCATGCTCTGCTGCGGCCACGGCTAGCGGGCCGCTGCTGCTCCAGCAGGGATCCCTGCCACAGGGCTGCTCAGGGTCAGAAGTTGCTCTCGGCGCTCTCTAGTGGGAACTCGTAGCAGTGCGCCTTGTCTCCGAGGCTGCTGCTCTCCTTGAGGGTGCTGGTGCAGGCAGCCCCCTCCAGTGGCGCCGGGGGCTGCAGGCTGTGCTTGCTGTGGCCGGTGCCGTTCTGGTAGCTGCCCACCAGCTTGTGCTCCTCCCCCGGGGCGGGCGCGGCCCCAGCAGCCGTGCTGCCGTTCCTGACCTGGGGCGTCTGGCTGTAGGTGTGCCTGTACTCCTCCTCTATGTCCCTGCCCAGCTTCCACCGCTTCCACCTCTTCAGCAGCTCCGACTGCACCTGCGCCGGGAGGGAGAACCGCTTCGGTCAGTCAGCAGCACGCAGGTCGGACACAGAAACACAGGACAGGCTGTGCTGTCTCAGCCGGGAGGGGCGATGAAGAAAGCTCACCTCCTTGTTGACGAAGCAGTACAGGATGGCCACCAGCAGACCCTGCAAGAGCCACACAAAAGAATTAAATTACGTTAGAATTAAATTAAGTCAGGACAGCTGGACTCACTCTCACTTCCAGCCTTTGCAGTTGTTTATACAAGTTCTGTTTTGTGGTCTCGACACATAGAGATTGCATTCAGAGCTACAGATATGCAGATATCAGAGCTACTTGTGTATGAAGCTACTCTACTGTGTTGATTATACTGTATGTGGTACTTAAAGCAGTGAAAGTGTGGAATGAGGAGACGGACAACAGCAGTTTCCTTTGCAGGCTGGTCTCTGTGAGGATGCTGGCAGCTGTCTGAGCTGGGAGGTGAGAGGATTAACAGCTGCACTCTACACTGTCGGGTTGGTGAAGAGCCCCAGCTGTGGAATCTTACAGGGCTCTGACTGTGCTGCGCACGAGCCTGTGGCACTTTTATACAAAGGTGCCATGCAGCTGTGGAATCAGACCATCGACCTGGAGAGTGTGTATGCAGTGTGCGGTGTCCCCTGTGCTGGGGGCTGGGTGCCCTGGGCTCCGTGCGTGGAATGCTGGCTGACCTGGAAGGAGGAGGAGAAGAGCTCGAAGAAGAGCTTGACCAGGCGCAGGGAGCCCTGGGCATGCTCGTCCGTCACGAAGGCAAACACCACCTCGTGGATGCCCAGGAGGGGGATGAGAGTCAGAGTGGACTTGGCCAGCCTGTTGGCAGAGCGGAGAGAGCAGGTCACAGAGCTGACTAAGAACTCCTAAAACTGCACGGCAGTGTGGGCCTGCAAGGGGCACTCACCGGAACTTGTAGTCCGTGTATCTCATCTGATGGGCCCTCAGCTTGGACACCAGGATCTGTATGATTCGGATGAAGATGAAGAAATTGATCTGCAAGGAAAAGGGAGGCACGGAGGATCACTAGTGAGTGGATGGCCCAGGATGCAGCTCTAGACAGGAGCCCTGAAGAGCAGCAGTTTGGAAGGCTTGGTTATGGTGGTTGCTATGTTTACCTCCACCAAGGTAAACTGAGCTGCAAGAACAAAGTAATAGAAACCCACACTCCCCCAGGACAATCCCTGCGGGCTGTGTGTGTCGGCAGAGGTGAGTCCTGGCTGGACTCCTGTGACACTGGTCAGAAAACCCCATCCCACACTGTGGTGTGCCGTCTGCTCACGGGGCACTGACTCCAAGTCACTCTCTTCCCACTTGTGTCAGCAGATTGGTCCCCTGGGGTTGTTAACAGTTCACAGCTGTCACTGAGGGAGCTCCACCAGCTAACAGGCTTTGTTACCAGGAGGTTCCCAGTTCAAGCTCCAGCTGTGCCTTTGCCCCGAGTCCCTGAGTGGGTTGTTGAACCTCCTGTGCTGCAGCAGCGGCTGGTTGTATCCCAGTTCCCCAGACCCTCTGCTAGCTATTCTGGAGAAACGTGTCTGCAATCCTTCCGATAAGAATTCCTCCCTATTTTTGTGCAGCGATGTTTGGAGCCACGCGGACATCAGCACAGAGGAATGTCCCGGGCCGGACAGCAGCGACAGAGGAAGAAAGCCCTTGTGCCGAACCCTCCAGAGGCTGGACACACGGCAGGCAGGAAGCTTGCTCTGCACACCCATCCACTGAAACCCAGCGCAGGACTTCCTGCGGGAAATGTGTGCCGGAGCCGTCACGGACGAGTCAGGCCCCCGCTCCAGACGGCTCACTCACGGCCGCTGCGTGCTGGCGCAGGCGTGACGTTCAGACAGCAGTCTGTCCAGCTGCGGCTCGCTGAAATGCTCGTCTTCCGTCAACGTGTTTGATACACTGCATACACCCCCCCACGAGTCAGCATCCAGTCCCGGAAAAGCCAAGAGGAGACAGGGAGCCCGCGGAGGCTCGGACACTCACCAGGATCGCCAGCTGTATCGGGGAGCGGATGACCCACCAGACGGCCATGTTCAAGTTTCTCTCCCAGCACCTGCGTGAGGAGAGAGGCTGGCATCACTCACACTGCAGCTGCTCATCTCCTACAGCACCCAAACACAAGCTTCCTGCCTTCCCTCGGCAACTCCATGTGTCCAGCAGAGCCAGGCAGACCAAGACACAGGTACAAGCTCCCGCCGAGAGAAGAGGCGAGTTGAGTCTGTAAATGGGGGTGCCTACATTGCTCCGTTGACTTTTACTCTTATATGTGCTGTTCAGAAGGCTGTAAATGACCTTTATTTATTTGTGAGTTTGTTCCTAGTGTCAGCAGTACTGGAGAACTGCTGTCATGCCAATAAGACCCATTTGAATTGGATAAACATTGGCATAGTCACATAGAAAAATGTGTTTCTCTGGATCATGGAATTAGATAAAAGACAAATATAAAGTTTAAAAGTTAACCTTCACTGTGGTAAAAAAAGGATTTTGGTGTTTTTTTAAAATACACTTCACCTCACTTGGCCAGCTCAGCACTGCTGCGCACATCTCTGCTGACCTTTCAGAAACCCAATATGAACAGATAACTGCAGAAGACACGAGAGCTTCTCTGTTGTCCTGGAGCTCTGATATCATGCTCTGCAGTGAAGGCCGCTGCCTTTAATTTGACAGGTTGGGGTGTAAGTCCATTATTTACCCACATGTTCCTCAGAAAATGCCTTCTTAGCCACTTAGTAATGCTTAGTAACTTAGCAACCATCTTGGCAGAATTCATCGCCCAAAGTCCATTGTAGGAAACACAGGGCAAAAGAATACCATATAAACTGTGTTATTAATCTGCAAAGGGAACCAGGGAGGTGTGACAGGAGTTTGTTCTGCACTCGTACGGCTTCCAGAGCCGTGTGACTGTGCAGAAACAGCGAGTGGATGGAGACCAGCCAGCGCACGAGCGAAGATTTGTGCACAGTGCGAACGCTGCAGTCGTGCGCAGGACACTGGTGCTCCAGGTCTTGAAGCCTCAGCTTGTTCTGCGGGGTGTGCGCAGTCCACGACTGGGGCTGTTGCCTTGCCTGCTCATTCCTCATGGCTGCTAATGGCTCACATATGAGATGAACAGGGCCTTTCAGGTGAACTAGTCATTCCAGTGTCTTTGATGGCGCTGTTGCCAAGCAAGAGCAGAGCCTTTTACATAAGGAAGGATCCTTCCCCGAATCAGACATTTTCGGTGGTTCTCATGCTGCTCGTGCTTAGAGGGCCCTGAGCACAGGCTGCAGACACAGCTGGAGCCAACAGACTGAGGCATCTGGAGGAGTGCATGGCCGCCTACAGGGGCCCCTGTGTCAGCTCGGCTCTGCAGGAGCACCACTCGCCTGCCGGCTGTGACCAGGAGACGCTGGGCAGAGGAGCACTCAGACGGACAGCAGCCCCTTGTCTTGGGGAATGTGTGGGCAGAGAGGCACCAGGACTCCCAATACACTGTGCTACAGAATCCTGCACTGCTGTCAAACCATGTTCTTGGCATTTGAAACCTGAGAAGCAGATCCTTCTGATGTTCTGGGTTAATCCTGGAAAATCACAAACTCTTTAGAACCATTTCATCCGTATTCAATGCCTTGTAGTGAGATTTTGCATGGTCTGATACCAGGATGTGTTCATCTTATTTTGCTCAGCCCGCCTTTTCTAGTTCTCTGTATTGTGCTGCTTGTGGCGTTTATCACTGTAGTCTAAACCAGGAATTCTCTCCAGGGTGTCTTGCAGTCAGACTGTGTTTTCCCCACAAATATCTGCAGTGCTTTCTCTTAACTGCTGGAGTTACATATTTCTCTGTGTATATTCATCACTCTCCTCTGTTTTTATGGAAGGCATGTGCAGTTCCTGTTTTCAATTCTCTTCTACGGAAAACACGAAGGACACACGGAGTCTGTCAGACAGACAGGGAGTGCAGACTGGGAGTGGGGTCAACCTCAGAGTACAGGATAAACGTACAAGAGTATTCCTGTGGTATTCAATGGGGATTTGGGCCATTAGTTTAAGTGCTAAAATACCCTATGTAGTGTATTTGTGTTTATACGCTATTAGATTGAAGAAACACAGACAAGGCAGGATTTTAAACAGCTTGAGTCTGTGCTCTCTGCGTCTTTGTTTTTTTTTTAGCCCAGGTGGGTGGGGCCGTACTGCTGTTAACATCCGTTAATACAAAAAAAACACATCCATCACACCTGACAACTTGACATCTTGGGCCCCTGTAGTTTTTATTTTTTCACCACCCTCTTGATGTTAAATTCTATCTGCTCTCTAGACTGCGCTGCAGTTACAACCTCCTGATTCCAGCCTCAGTTCAGATACTCGATAGCTCTGTGCTTCCCTGCCTGAGTAACTGACGAGTTTCTGTCGTCCCAGTTTCTGTGGACAAGTCGCTGTCTATGTGTTCCTAGTTTAACTGGCAAACAGGATCTCCTTCTCATAGGACAAAGGTGCCAAGTTTGTTTGAGAGAAAGGCAGAGAATATCGCTGAGCTTTACCATTCAGGATTACTTGCAAGTCCAAAGCACACTGATGGAGAAAAAGGAGGCAGTAAGATGGGAAAGAAGGGAGAAGGAAAGCAGAGGAACTCACTGGATGTTCTCGTAGAGGTACTTCAGCCTCACCCAAGACAACACGAACAGCAGCGGGGCACCTGGGGGGCACAGAGGGCACGTTACCACCACACACACACCCTGCTGGGCGCCTGGCCTGGCACTGCACACAAGAGCTCATCTGGCACTGTGAACCTCTCTGGGCCGAGGCGAGACAGACAGCAAGCGTTCATGGTTGTCACATAGAGCCAGGGTACAGGAAACCAGCCTCTGTTTGACAGCAGGGAGGCCTGACTGCAAACATTGCAAATCTTGACATGTTCTTACAGGACTGACCAAGTCTAATACAGGCAAGATGGGCCCAGCAACCTCCAGTTGTGTGCAACCATGCTTGTTTTCTTCCGATGGTGCTGAGAGGACGCAGGGGCTCAGGGTGACTCACCCCAGGCAATACACAGGTAGATTTTGAAGTAGTTCCTCTCAGTGAAGACTGTGATCACCAGCAGGTTGTGCAGGTAGATGCCCTCCACCAGCAGCCAGTTGTAATTGGCCATGATGCTGTACTGCATCATGACCAGGGCAGCGCGACAGCCCACGGGTGTCTGAAAGCAAACAGGTGTTTGTTACCGATTTGACTTCTAGACCACCTACGGTACAGAACAGAGAAAAGAAGATAGGCAATGGAAAGGCACTCTCTAGAGATGAGGAAAATGAGTGCTCAGAAGAATCCATCACAGTGAAAGTACAGTGCCACCTGCTTCCCCCCACAGGAGAATGTGCTGTGTGTGCTGCCCCCTGGTGGCAGGTGAGGGAAGACGCACCTCGTCTGTGCTATTCAGCCACTTCTCGACCTCGTTGTCTTTAGGCAGGGTGAAGTTGGAGCTGGGGGGGTGGAGCAGCGCGTCCTTGACCAGGATGGACACCGCGCGCAGGATGAAGGAGGCAAACAGGTTCATGTGGATGTAGTTCCTCATGCAGTGCAGCTTTCTGCCCCAGAGAAACAGAACAGGTCTGAGCAGCTTTCAAACAGCCGGCTACTGGTTCCAGCTCAATTCAAAAGCATGAGTTCAAAACAGCGAGGACGGGTCTGAGCAGCGGCTTTCCTCTGCATCAGCCATCAGGTGCTTCTCATTCTGCAAACACTGTCTAAATGATCTTTCCACAGTCCTAGTGGGTGAGAACAGTTAAAACCCACCAGTGACTGCCTGCATTAATACTTCAATACAACTTCACTGAAACAGTCCTGTTTTCCTATTGTCCTGTTGAAACAGTCATTAGGAAAGACTTAATTGTTTGTCACCACACTGTAATAACTGCTGCCCCATCTCTCTGCTTCATGCTGTCTGAGGAAGGGGTGCTCTCTGAGGAAGGGGTTCTGTCTGAGGGGGGTGTGCTCTGTGAGGAGGGAGTGCTGTCTCAGGAAAGAGGGCATTAGCGAGGTGAGAGACGTCCAGAACAGACACTCTGAAAGACTTTTTTTAAGGCATCAGCTGGGCCTGGTCCTACACTCCTACAAGTTCTCACTGCAGGCACTGCTTGTTTACTGCTTGTCTGGGAGACTCAGACCTTAAAGCTGAGTCAACATCTCACTGATTTTAACCTGCCTGTTTGACGCTTGTGCAAGGAGAGCCGTGACAGCTCTCTCTCCCTCCCACTCTCCGCGAAGCCTTTCCTCACCTGAAAGCCACCAGGATACCCAGTGCCAGCACCAGGGCCCCCAGGGACAGTGAGTGCCCCACCGTGTACATCACCCAGAACATGCTCAGGGTCTTCCAGTAATCCTGCTGCACACAAACAGAAAAAAGAATCCCAGCCGGTCAGTCTCTCCCAGAGCCCTGGCAGGCCCCGGAGATACCAAAGCAGAGCACGGTGAACTCATGTCGAGCGCAGGAAGGATGGAAAACTGATTCTTGCCATGCTGATTGTGAAGAAATGTGAGCAAGACTCAAGCAGGAGCTCGACTCCCATCTCAGGAGGGAGCGAGAGTCTGATCTCAAGCAGGGGCTACAGCAGACCTCCGACTCCAACCTCACCTTATCCGTGTCGTCCACCTCACACTCCGTCGTGTTCTTCCAGGGATGCTTGTCAGGGCCAAGAACCCACTGGCCGTCCAGCCCGCACACCCGGTACACCACACCATGGCGGACTGCAACACACACAGACAACGTGCAGCTCAGCGGGACGGACAGATTGCACACCTGTGAGCCCTGGGGCCTCCTGCCTCACTGCACTGGGGGGACAGAGACGGGTCTCGGGACAGAGGGAGCACAGATTGCAGTTTACTGTCTGCCTGTACCACACGCAAAGGGAAAAGCAACACACAGAACAACAGCGTCAGCTGCCACGTCCAGAACCCTCAGGAGCTGGAGCTCTGTGCTGCTGTGTCTGTCCCTCTGTGCATCACTGTGTGATTTACTGCAGTTTTAAACACACTTCCAGAACCCTGTCAGACATTCTTTGTGGTTTTTTACGATTCAGCTCTGCGCTGCACTGTGGCGAGATGTCAGAAGCCTTCAGCAGCTGAGCTTCATGACTGATGTCCACTGTAGAGACTAGATCAAGTCGTCCCAGAGAAAGCAGCCCTTGCCAGCTCTACCTCTGTCGTGCCAGGGCAGGTACCAGGGGCAGGACACGTTGACCACAGTATTGGGCAGCCCATCTGGCCAGCAAGCGTATCTATCGAAGGTGCGGTTGCACACTAGTCCTGAAAGAAGCAAAAAGAAACAATTAAATCTGGTGAGAAAGTGACACAACTGCTCGCACATCATCTGCAGAACTCAGGCACAAAGTCGTCTTTGTTTCAGTTTATTTCTACATTTTCAGAAGGACGAAAAAGGACACGGAAGATTGAACAAAAAATGGAGTGGGGCCAGCTGAGCAGCCTGGGTCAACAGAACGTGAGGGGCAGCAGAAAATTACTGTAGCTCTGCTCTGAGACTGGACACTGCGGTGGTGAGACTGGACACTGCACTGGGGACGATCAGGACACTGTGGTGAAAAGACACTGTGGTAATGAGACTGGACACTGCACTGCAGACAATCAGGACACTGGGGTGACGAGACTGGACACTGCACTGGGGACAATCAGGACACTGTGGTGACGAGACTGGACACTGCACTGGGGACAATCAGGACACTGTGGTGACGAGACTGGACACTGTGGTGACGAGACTGGACACTGCACTGGGTGCAATCAGGACACTGGGACTCCCAGAGCTGAGGCTTCACGACTCCCCACAGGAAGAGAACTGTAATGCCATGTGATGGTTGACTTACCAGTAGCAGGAGGCTCACTGCTGATGTTATGGTTGCACTCATCCTTGTAGCTCACCCAGTTTTTCACTATGTCCGTCAGGGTCAACTCCGACCGGACCTGCTGGGATACAACCAGCACTTGTGTTAGACAAGACCGGGCCAACAGGGCCGCTGGACTGGGCCTGACCTGCCAGACTGAGGCCAAGAGGTTGGAGACTTACTGTCTATGATCCCGCCCCTGAGTCTGGCATACTGAAGTGAGCCAGTCTCTGGGCCTCACTGTGCTGTCAGTGACCTGCAAGCCTCTCAGGAGGAGCTTCATTGTGCTGGTCAGGGCTACTGCCAGAGGGGCCTGTGAGGAGGCTGTACAGCCCTGACTCCTGCCTCTAGTCCCAACAGATGGCTAATAACAGCACTAACATCATTCCCACCAGACCTGCATATATTCATTAAGAAAACTCAGTGCTTCAACTATGTTAGACATCCACTGCACTGCTGTCTGCTCACCTGAATGCTGGTGGAGAAAGTGAGCAGAGTTAGGAGGAGGAAGGCCTGTGACATCCCTTAGTCCTGCTTCTGAAGCTGGGAGCGAGGGGTAGCACTGTCGAGGCAGTCAGCTCATAGGGGGGCTTCGCTGGGACTCACTGCTTGCCCTGCACACAACAAGGCACAACACGCAACAGCGTCACCATCAGCTCAGGCAGACAGAAGCACTGATGCAAAGAGCAGCTCCATCACAGTGCAGGCGTTCACTTCTCCTTAGTGAATGAGCTGAGTCCTGCTGACATGGGAGAGGAGAGGAGGAGCAGGGCTCAGACTAAGGTGAGATGTGTCTGGTCCAGGCCCTGGGGTCAACACTCATGGATCATGTGGGAAGTTTTAAAGTCCCTTGCAAAACAAGAGTCACCTTCTAAAGCATATTGTACCATGACACCATGTCTGCTCTGTACTTTAGAGTGAGTGATCTGGAGAAAAGAGCAGCTCCTACTGGTCCACTAATGCCTTACATCCTAGTACCACCAACAATTAACCTTAACCTCCATTAGTAGCCTCCATTAGTACTAGCCCTTTCATTATTGCTAACATGGCTCAGCTTGAATGAGAGGAAACCAAGTTTATCTTTAGTTCATATTGATCACAATCTTAAAAAAGACAGAGCACAGCAATCTAGTCACTAGTCCAGCACATTTATCAGTTACGTCTAACTGACTCATTGTCAGGTGTTCATTGTCATTAACATCACTGCTTCTCAATATAAACCCATAAAGTTGAAAGGCTGCATTTTGTACAACAAAACACAGATGTGTCAAGATTAACATCTTAAAATGAATCGTCTATAATTTCAGTAGAAGATTAATGCTAAATTGTGTTTCTGCATAAAAAGGAAAAAATGAGTGAAAAGAGGAGATAGATGCGGAATATCTAAGCCTTTTGTACAGATCCATACTGCTCTGTCCCACATAGCCTAATCTCCCACCGGAGAACAAATATAGTATCAACGCCATGATTTAACTTGACTGGTTTCCAAGTAAAACATTCTCACTGCATTTTAATGGTTGTCACTTTCTTCTTAAGAATAACATATTGTAAAATTGGACATTTGGACCTTTCTTAAAAGATGGAGAACTGTTCTCTCAATAGACCAAAACCTAGAGGCTTTGAGACTCCTCTGGGCCTGTCTGTGGACAGACTCTGTTTGGCTCAAAACAGTCTGAAGTAGTAAACATGTTTCTCAAGGAAGCGAGTGTGTGAGAGCGAAGGGCAGGAATATTAATAGATATCAGGAGCAGATATCTAGAGACATGCTTGTTTGTTTAAAACCCCCTCACGCATGCAAACACCACAGCCACTTCATATTCTCCAGTCATCCAATCAAGGCAAAGAACTGCCCCCACAATAGCTAAGCACACGTGAGCAAGCTGTGAGATAAAGTCATCATTATTATTGATTATCCCTATATGGTATCAATATATGATAATGCTAAGGATCAGGCCATGACATACAATGCATTCTAGTTCTTCGTCACTGGATTCAAAATGTTTACAAGTAGAAACCACAGCGTGCTTCCTTCTCACAGAAAGTGATCTATAAGCTAAATGATTTGTTCACATCAATGAATTATTGTAGATGTCTTAATCTATTATTTTAATTAAACCTTGGTCCTTGCTTATTGACTATGGTTTCTCAGTGGCTGAGAGCAGAGGGGAGTCTCCCAGTGTCCCGGTGTAGCTGCTGAAGTCAAGGCAGTTCCCAGAAGCCTCAGTCTGGACTCTCTGCAGCAACATGCACAGCATGACAAGAGAAACCCCTGGAAACCCTATGGGAGAAGAGGGAGCGACTTCTCTGAATTTCAGAGGTTTCCCACACTGAAGACGCTGCTAAAGGCATTCCAGTACTTTCATGATTTGTAGCCTGTTAGTGGCGAGAGCTTCAGAGTCTCATTCCCAAGCTGCCTCAATGGGAGATGCCCAGTGTGTGGCCAGCACCCCTCCAGCTATGTGCCTGAGCCCCACAGGTCCTTCTCCCCCTGTGATCCCCTCTTACCTGGGAGTCAAGTCCACATCACCGGAGTCCCAATCCTGTTCCGGGCCGAAGTTGGAGAACGGAACGAAATCTGAAACGTTTCTGCAAAAAACACCTTTACCATGGAAACATTTTTGGCTAAAACGTTTCAAATTCCATTCTGTTCCAGTCTCTTGGCAAAGATTTTTTATATAAAAAAAGGTAGAGTTGAAAACAGCTGCAGACCCTCATATCTGGAGCTAAACTTAAGCTGGGAAAGTCTGAAACACAGAATACTAGAGAAATCCACAGCATGTTTCACTTTTTAGGTTTTTGGGACTCCAAGCACCAGTTCAGTACATCAGCTTAGAGAACAGCAGAGGGATATGAAAATACCTCTTTAACTGTTATTAATGGCGCATAACGCACTGTGAAACAAACTGCATCGTGTTACAAGCCTGAAATTTCAAGGCATATGAAATCCATTTATAAACCATGCTAATATGCCAGCCAGTTAATCCATTTGCTTAAGGGACTTGCACAGTGTCACAGTACTGGTAATGTAGACTAATGCAAACTGCAGGACAGAGGCTCCAGGCGCGGACTGGCCAGCAGAGCTGCTGCTTTAGCCCCTGCCTGCTGGTCACAGGTCCGAGCTCTGCCTCCTGCAGAGGGTGTCAAGTCAACATTCCTGTATTTTAGTAGTAGTAGTAGTAGTAGTAGTAGTAGTAGTAGTAGTAGTAGTAGTAGTAGTAGTAAACAAGTCGAAACTCACCATTAGAATTAGACATGACTGTAGGCTGATTTTCACCAATAAATAAAAGCCGAAAGCAGGAGTGCATGTAAAGTACCTTTAACCCCTTTTCACACAGAGAGAAACCCGTGCAGCTGTGGCTCAGTTTAACTGTTTACCACCTCACTCAGGGTCATTCCTACCCTCTCATGAGTGAACGGCTATCTAGTCAGCTGCAGCTCTGCACCACAGGGCCCATGACACACACAGAGGCGGCCACAGGGACTGGCCAGTGGAGTGTCCCGCTGGCGTGGTGGGCAGGTGCAGGCTCTGGCCAGAGTGCAATCACTAACCAGACTGACCAAAGCCCCCCTCCACACTCTCTGCACTGGGGAAGGAGAGATAAAGGTTTAACCCTTCCTGCCAGCTGAGAATGCTGGGAAAGAGGCTGGCATGCCGTCTTGTTAAGTGGGGCCTGGGGCGCAAGGTGGAGGACTGGAGGCACGAGCTGGGTGGGAGAGGCTCTGCTATGCCCAAACACAAACGCCTGTCTCAGTGCGGCTGCCCTCTCGAGGGGTGGTCTTCTCCATGCTGCTGATTTACACAATTAACCTACTAAACTAACTGAATACTCATCTGGATTACCTGCGATGCTAAGGTTATACATGCTTAACCTGAAACCTAATTTGAACTAATCTGAGTTTGAACTCCAAATTATAACTCCTTATCCTAACTGAAATTCTAAACACCCCTAAATCTAAGCCTCACCATTGTCCTGAACCCTAAAACCACAACCTGAACCCACAGACCTCACCTTGCACTTCCTCTAGGCCTTAATGAAATCCCTAACCCACAACTCAACCATCAAGTGCTCTCCTTACTGCTGCCCTAGCCCCGATGGGCTGACCTGCAGCAGGACCGTGGAACAGTAAGAGATCGATCTGCTCGTCTCCACATTGGGGCTGCTGGTCCAGGAACAGGAGGCAGCTGGGTGACTGTACTCATGCAACCTGGAGAGGGCACAGGAGTTTGGGCTAAAAAGATGCTTACCTCCAGACTTTCTTTAAATAAAGTTCTAATTATTGTAATTGTTATCCACAAGATGCTCATTGTATATAATATATCTATATGAAAGCAGAGTCTGATTCCTGGTTTATGTTCTGAGAGGTATAAGAAACACTTCCAAACTGCAAAGCGTCTCCATGAGAGACAAGTGCAGAACTGTCCCCTGCTGTCCATGACAGCCAGGCCATCTCCCCCGTGTTGTGCTCGGTGTGGTCCAGCTTGGCACAGCTGCAGCGTCCAAGCTTGTGAGTGACACCTGTTACTACTTTAAGCAAGATCAGGAGGAGCTGAACTGTACAAAAACAATGCAGCAGAGGGCTGTCCTGAGCAGATCTGCCCTGCTTTATTATAGCAGCTTTCGTGAAACAGCCAGGGCTTGCAGGCACCCTACTGGGAGACCAATGGGACACTGACTGCCCCGCTAATTACCAATGCAGCTGAGCCTGTTTCCCTGCTGTCTGCCTTGTGTTCCTGCCATGTCAGAATGCAGGGCAGACCCACCGATGGCAAAAACTGACAAAAGGGCCTTCTGGAAAAGCAAGCAATCCTGAGTCCCTCTTGGTCTTTCCTGTGCATGCCCTCGTAGAACAGGCTGCACACAGCTGACTAACGGGGCCTGCTGAACGGGAACAAGATGTACATCTGTTTGAATAATGATGACGATACAGAGCACTGTTTACCTAATATCTCACATCTGGAGGTCACAGAGGGTCACTGCTGAGATAGACTTGGCTGTGTTAACTCAGTCCAAACACAACAGCTGTTGCTCTTGCTTAGGTGTCAGTGCAGCAGTTCGGAAGCCCTGGCAATCCTCAGCAGTTTATATTAGTGCTGTTGTGCTCCCAGGCCCAGGATGGTTTCCTCCTGTGCAGTGTCTGGAGGGCCAAGAGATTCTGGGAACTGTCCCTCACTCCCCACCCCTGCGCACTGCAATGTGCATGTGTAATCCAGAGGCAACAACCTGTGTTGTTGTGGAATTGGGAAGAAATAGCAGGTGATCATGATGTAACTGGAACCACTGTTGTGGCAGTGAGTTACCTGCTGCTCAGTGTTCTGAAAAGGTTTAAAGACCATCCAGGCACAGGAACTTGATCTCATTTAGAATACCGTGTACAATGCGAGGTGTTGCATGTCAAATAAACAAGATACTGCTGCTCTGGAATCAGTCCAGCACACATCAACTAGATATGGCACTGTAGCTCTGTGGCTAAAGATCTGCGCTTGTGGCTGGAAGGTTGCTGGTTCTTGTCCCACAGCTAGCAGAGGAAGCCTACTCTGTTGGGCCCCTAAGCAAGGCCCTTAACCCCAACTGCTCCAGGGGCACTGTATAAATGGCTGACCCCCAGCTTCTCT